ATTTTGAACCATGTACTGTCTCCTTGCTCTGTTCTGACAACTGCCTCTTGATCCAAGTTTAAGTTTCGCATTAGCACAATCAAATGTTCTGGGATGCCCATTCTTTTCAGAGTCAGCCAAACAAACAAAAAAACCCCTAAACGTCTCCCCAGCAACCTCCCTCACCACCTCCATCTGGGGGCAGGCGTCTTGGGGGACCCTGGCTCATATTCCCTTCTGGTCCCCATTCCAGTGGTTTCTCTTCAGTGAGGCCGAAACGGCCCTTTGACGGCCACAGAAGGAGGGATCAGTGCAGGGCCTGAGGGTGTGCTCCACGCAGGAGGCCAGCACACCCCTGTTTAGATGGCACCCCCACCCTCATCCATATGGAAAGGACTACTGGGAAGCTGGGAAGCAAGCCTGTTCCAGGTCTGGGGTCCTGGTACACAGTCTGGCGGGCATGCCCCAGGGCTCCCCAAGAGCGCCCACCTTCCCGTGCCTGTCAGGTGCCCACAGTTCTGAAACACCTAGCGTGCAGACAATCAGTATGGGACCCTCAGCCACTGGACAGACTCACAGCCCCCTGCACCCACACCCCCCCCAGATCTGCCCTTGACTCTAGACGGCGGTTTTCTGGTAAGTGTCCCACTCCGCTCACCTCTCATCCCTCCCAGAGGGTCTCGGGCCACACCTGCCTAGGCCACAGCTAAGGAAGAGGAGACACGTAAATTCTTCAGCTGGGGGTCCCAATGCCCTGCACTGGCCAGACGGGGGTGTTCAAACTCTTTCCTGGTCTCTTTCCATCTGCAAGTAGCCAGATGCGTGTGGCCATCCCAGGCACCCATCAGTCCCACCAGGGGGGTTCCAAGAAGAGACAGATAGGAAGCAGTTTCTGGGTTCACAGCGGAGGGCTGTGCATCACCCAGACCCCGTTCTGGAGGGGAGAGCTGAGCTGAGTGCAGCCTTCACGCCCGAGTGCCAGGCAAGTGTCCACAGGGACCTGACTGCATTTTCTTGTGAGTCCTCACCCCTGCCCTGTGCCCCTGTTCTGGAGGGGACAGTGGGGCTCACGGCAGCCTTCATGCCCGAGTGCCGGGTTAGCCAGTGTCCACTGGACCTGACCCTGTGTCTTCTCGTGAGTCCTCACCCCTGCCCTGTGCCCTGAGACCCCATTCTGGAGAGGACAGCAGAGTTCACAGCAGCCTTTGTGCCCGAGTGCCAGGCAAGCATCCACAGGGACCTGACCCTGTGTCTTCCTCTGCCTCTTCACCCCTGCCCTGTGCTCTGAGACCCAGTTCTACAGAAGGGAAACTCTTGGAGGTTTGGAAAGGGAGAATCATCTGCTGATATCACCCACGAACAACCAGAAGTGCGGTAGAGAACACCCCAACCCCCAGGGAGTTCACAGAAGGTGTGGTGAGGGCAGGGACGAGGCCAGCACCTGAGAGGCATGTGCAGCGGTTCAAAGGCTGGGCAGGGCCGGGCAAGGACAGGGCACCCCAGAGCTCACTGGGGGTGGAAGGGGGAGCATCAGAAAGGGTGCTGCACAGTGGAAGGGGGCAGAAGTCATCGTCAGCAGGACGCCTAGTGCCCCCTCCTGCCAAGGGGGGAATGGGGTTGGTGGTCTGCAGGTGGCAGGTTTTACAGGGAGACATCTGGTGCAGGGAGGAGGCCGGATCCAGCCTCTGAGGGGCAGATGGAGAAGAAGATAAAGACTTCCATGGTTAGTGACTTTCGTAGCTGAGCTGCTGGTGAGCACAGCCGCCGCCCCGGGGGGAGAGCGAAGCCCTAGCAGGTGGTCACGTCAGCGGAGAGGTGAGGCACCAACACCCTCAGGAACAACACAGTGCTACAAAGAACCACTTCAGAGGGGTTTCAGGAGGGTGCAACGGCTACGGTTCAGCTGTTAACCAAAAGGCTGACGGCGCAAAGCCCCCAGTGGTGCTGTGGGAGAAGGAACCTGGTGATCTGCTCCTGTGAGGACCACTGCGACTGCTGCTGCTGTTACTAAGGGCCATCTAGTGAGTACGACTCAGTGACGCTGAAGCACCGATCTCGGCTCTCTTGGTCCCGTGCGTCATCTCATTAGCTCTGATGGCTTGAACTCACTGCACAGAATGTGCTGGTGGGCGCGGCCGCTGCAGTTACGTGCCGTCTACCTGTGACTCACAGCAACCTACGCAAAACAGCTCTGAACCCTGCTCTACCACGAGCCAGCCTCACTGTCTCCAGCACC